TTGCACTACACTTTGTTCCCAAGTTAACATCGGCACGTGAGCCGCTATGATATGCATTATCTGTGGCTTTTTTATCTGGTGTCTCCACCCTTAGTACGACGGTATACAAGTCTTGTGCTATATCTCTAAAAGATGAAACCTTGTATGTAGATCTGATTCCACTCCGCATTAGTAGCTTCGACATAATCTTAGGAATGGATTGGCTTGCAGCCAACCATGCCTTTATCGATTGTACGACTAAAAAGGTCTTTTTTCGATTACCCGACCAACTCAAGCTGGTCTTCAAAGGAACTAGAGTTTCTACCCCTCCGTATTTGATATCCTCCGTGATAGTCCGGCGACTTTTGAGAAAAGGTTGTGGTGGTTGTATTTGTTATGTGGTTAACACTCAACAAACAGACCCAACACTCAATTCAATACCTGCCGTTTGAGAATTTCTTGACGTTTTTCCTGAAGACTTACCTGGTACTTTAATTGATCAAGAAATTGAATTCACCATTGACACTTGACCCAACACACAACTGATCTCCAAAACCATTTACCGCATGTCATTGACGGAATTGAATGAACTAAAAACCCAACTCCAGGAACTCGTGGACAAAGGTTTCATTCGACCTAGTACCTTACCCTGGGGAGCTCCAGTATTATTCGTAAAGAAAAAGGATGGCACGATGAGGTTATGCATCGATTACCGAGAGCTAAATAAAGTCACCATCAAGAATCGATATCCCTTGCCAAGAATCAACAACTTGTTTGATCAGCTTCAAGGCGCCCAAGTATTCTCCAAAATTGACTTGCATTCCAGCTGTCATAAACTAAAAGTCAAAACGGAAAGTATCGAGAAAACAACCTTCAGAACACGTTACGGGTACTACGAGTTTCTTGTCATGCCATTTGAGTCACAAATGCTTTAGCGGCCTCCATAGACCTCATGAACCAAGTGTTCAAACCATATCTTGATGAGTTCGTCATCATCTTCAATGACAATATTCTCGTGTACTCCAAATCACCGGAGGATCATGAGCAACACTTATGAGTAGTGCTACAAACACTACGTGATCACAAACTTTATGCCAAATTGAAGAAATGCGAATTCTGGATTACTAGTGTATACTTCCTTGGTCATGTCATCAACAAAGATGGCATCTCAGTTGACCTCCAAAAAGTTGCAGCAATCATGGATTGACCACGACCTACTAACGTGTTTGAGATTTGAAACTTCTTGGGTCTAGTCGGCTATTACTGATGCTTCGTTCAAGATTTCTCAAAGATAGTATCATCGTTAACCCAGTTAACTCAGAAGAACACACCCTTTGAATGGACTGACAAGTAGGAACGTTGCTTCTATGAGTTAAAAAACAGGCATGTGATAGCTCCTATACTAGCACTCCACATGGGAACTGATGGATTCGTAATTTATAGCGATGCCTCATACAATGGTTTGGGTTGCGTTCTTATGCAAAAAGGAAAAGTCATTGCTTATACCTCACGTCAACTAAAGCCTCACAAGAAGAATTACCCAACCCATGATTTGGAATTGATCGCAATAATCTTTGCCCTCAAAATCTGGTGTCATTATCTCTACGGAGCAACCTGTGAAATTTACACAGATCACAAGAGCCTTAAATATCTATTTACACAGAAAGAACTGAATATGAGGCAACGACGGTGGCTATAATTCACGAAAGACTACGATGTGGAGATTCATCACCATCCAGGTAAAGCTAACGTGGAAGCAGACGCGTTGAGCCGAAAGGCTACTAGAAAATTGGCATGTACTCTTGTCCCCCGTAAAATCAAAGGACTACTCGCTAACATAATTGTGGAACCTACGCTGATTGAAGAAATTAAAGCACACCAATGTGAAGATAAACTTTTGAAGAAAAAGTACAAGGAGCAGAGAAGTACGCCAAATCTTGACTTCACTATAAGCAATGGGATGCTGAAATTTCAAAATCGAATTTGCGTACCCAGCATACCAGAGCTCAAGAAGAAGATATTGATGGAGGCTCATAGCTTGAGGTTTGCAGTCCACCCTGGCAACCCCAAGATGTATCACAATCTGAGAGAACACTACTGGTGTGCAGGAATGAAAAGAGACATAACGAGCCAGGTCTCCAAATGCCTGCAGTGTCAACGTGTCAAAGAAGAACACCAGAGAACCGCAAGAACACTATAACCACTCCCTATTCTTGAATGAAAATGAGAGCACATTACTATAGACTTCGTGGTCGAGCTACTACAACCAGTTTCGAAAAATGATGTGATATGGGTTATAGTAGACTGATTAACAAAGTCGGTGCATTTCCTATTAATCAGAATCACGTACTCCCTTACTAAGTTCGCCACTCTGTACATCAAAGAAATCATTCGATTACATGGTACTCCAGTTTCAATCGTGTCTAACCGAGACCCCTGCTTTGTATCTCACTTCTGGAACAAAATTGCAAGAAGCTTTGGGAATAACACTGAAGTTTAGCACTGCTTATCACCTGCAAAACTGATGGACAATCCGAAAGAACAATCCAGACTTTGGAAGATATGTTACGTGTGTGTATGCTAGACCTCAAAGGAAATTGGGATGATCATCTACCGTTAGTGGAATTCGCCTATAACAACAACTACCAAGCAAGCATTTGAATGGCACCATACGAAGCATTGTATAGAAGGAGATGTCGGTCATCTCTGTGTTGGACAGAAGTCGGAGACAGTAAACTATTAGGCCCTGAAATCATGTAAATAATGAGTGATAAAATTCAACTCGTCCAACAGCGAATTCGCACTGCTTAAAGCCGCCAGAAAAGCTATACGGATACACAGAGACGAGATTTGGAATTTCAAGTAGGAGAACACGTTTTCTTAAAAATCTCACTAACAAATGGAGTCATTCAATTTGGAAAACGAGGGAAGTTGAACTCATGTTATGTCGGACCATTTGAAATATTGGAAAGGATTGGCCTTATAAGGTATCGTCTTGCTCTTTGACCAGAACTGTCCAACGTTTACAATGTGTTCCACGTTTCGATGCTTCGACAATATCTTCGAGATCCTGAGCATGTTTTCGATTATGAAAACCTGGACGTTCAAGAAGATCTCTTTTATGAAGAACAACCAGTGCAGATTCTCGATCGTCGTGATCAAGTTCTCCGAAACAAGAGTATACCCCTTGTAAAAGTCTTATGGAGGAATCATTGAATCGAAGAAGCTATGTGGGAAGCTGAAAATCAAATGTGGGCCAAATATCCACGTCTCTTCAAAAACCAAGGTATGTCAACTTTGGAGACAAACTTCTATTTAGGAGGGGAGAAATGTGACATCCTAAATGTTTAATTAAATACCACAGAAAAAAAAATTATACATATATATATATATCTATATCTATAATTGAAGTGTAATAAAATATTGAATGGTTGATAAAGTGAAATGTGAATAAAAAAATAAAAAAAAGGGATATACATGGCCTATCATCACCCTAGCACCTAGGGTGGTGAATATGCATATTTAACTAGGATAAGTCACCTAGGAAGGAGCAGATGGAAAATGGATTAAGTGACACATGGTGGTAAAACTTGCTACATGACTATATACTCATATAAATAGTGAGTCGCTAAGTTTCGGAAATGAACAAAAAGATACATAGATACAGCGCAGATGCAGCATACTAGTAAACAATAATAGGAAAGTAAAGGCTAAGGGTCAATAATAAGGTAAATAATATTATACTTTAAGTTACCATAATATATTCTACGAATGTTTTGAGTTATCACAATTTATTTTATATAATTTATGTTTTATGATTATGTTAATGTGTCAATTACGTGGACTATTTTCTGAACTCTATTTGCTTAAATTGAAATCCATGGATATGTTTGTTTAATTTTTAAAAATTATTTGATAATGATTTTATGAATATTAGTTTTGAATAAGTACCACCACGGAAGTTTCATGCCTTGGGGACTTAAATAATTATTGGCCCTTTGAATTGTCACTTTAGTGACCCTCTAACAGTCCCATGCATTGGGGGACTTAAATAACCATTGGTGGCCCTTTGATTAGTCACGTTGTGACCCTCTGTCTGTCATGGATCCATTGACCCTCTGTTCTGTTCTGTACCGTGATTATGATTTTGAATTATATATCTGTTATTAAAAATAATTGATTCGAGCTAAACTGTTCATTGTTTAGCCAAAGTAATTATCCCTGGTGATTTATATATCCTTATACTCTTAGTATAATATTTTTCAATCTGTCATATGCTTATAGCTGTTAAAACTCCTTTCAAGTGAAGAAATTTAAGGAAGGATAGTTTTACCCTGCGGATCAGACCCTTAAATTTGATATGAATATCATGTTTTTTTTTGTTCTTCTTGTAATCGTGTTACATCATTACAATAATAATAATTTCTATGTACGCTTCGGATATTTATCTACACATTTTATTTTATTCCACTGCATTATTTAATTTAATTACTTGGAATTATAATTAGTTAGTTGCGAATCCAGCCCTAGTTACCGGATAGGTCGTGACAGTGTGAATTTGAACTAATAGAAAAAATAAATTATAGAAGTTCAATAGATACGTTAAAAAAATTTAATAGATAGACCAAACAATTGAACAGATAGACCAAAAATTTAAATAGAAAGAAAATTATTTGAACAGATAAATTTTTTTTTGAACAGATAGTCAACAAAAAATCAAACAAATAAAAAAAAGTCAAGAAATAAAATTGAAAATAAAATATTTTATAGGACTTCTCACTGAATTATTTTACAAAGTGTGATTTCTTATCAACAAAAAATATCTAAACAATTGTTAAAGTAATTTTTTTATCAATTTTCTCTTGATTTATTAGCTTATTTGAATTATATTATTATTATTTTTTTATTTTTACACATTAATTTTTTTTAAAAAAATTGGCTTTTTTTCAAAATAGGCCTACCGTGGTCGCTACCACAGGAAATAAGTACTCTTGGAGGATCCGGATTCCTCCTGGTAAAATCTGAAGCTGTGGAGAGGGAGGGAGGGAGGGAGAGAGAGAGACAGGGTGAAATGGCGTCGTTGTTGAAGAGCGCGTTGAAGTCGATCAGAGAAAGAGGCCTTGGAAACTTCTTAAGGGAGCTCAGAGAAGAAGGATACTTGTATGCTTTCTTCCCTTTGTAGATTGTCTAGTTATGTATAGCTTTTCGCTTTTTTCAATGTTTCATTTTTGATTGCTACGAAAATTGTACTCTTTATTTTGAAACATTATATTATCAGCAATAAAATTGCAAACTAGTTTCAACTTTTTTCCTACCTGAAAGACCTCATTTCACTAAAATTTATGTTCTGATCTGCGTTTGGTTGCTGAGAAAGAATAGCTTTCAATTTCCTTTAGATTGGCGGAATTTTAGAAAAACAATCCAGACCTAGCAAATTGGGCTGTGTTTTGGTTGTGTGTGTGTGTAATATATATTAATATTGATTTTTGCTGATCTAGGGTTGGCAAATCGCGAAACCATTTAGTTTTCAAAATGATTAACTCTTTTTGGTTGAGTTTTCAGAATTCTGTTTTGTGAATTTTCCTAAGCTAGTTTAATAAAAAAAATAAAATAAAATTGAAATAGTAAAAAACTCATTATCTTCGTTATGAAAATAATCTTTTTGATCTTTATTTTGTCAAACTAGTTTCTAATTTTTCAAAAAAAAAAAAAAAAAAAAATCAGAAAACAAGTTCTGAAAACTCAACCAAATAAATTTGTTACCTTTCCTTGAATTATTCAGTAACCAGATGGAGCCATAGTTAAGTCATTGTCAAGTTTGTTTTGTGTCAAATTCATATTTCAAGGAGTAAAATCAAATCAAACTCCAGTGATGAATGAGTACAAAGTTGCTAGAATGTTGTGGGTCTGTCAGAATATTCACTGTCATTGATGGTTTATTTGCTTCAGTTGTTCATGCTGGGTAAATTAGCATGCTTGTTTCTGAGGTAGTTATACATGTTTATATTGGGAGTAAATTTGAATGAAATAATCACTGTTCTCCACGCCTGAAATTGAGGTGTATGCTGGTGGATGACTCTGAGAGTGCTTTACGTACTTAAAAATGAAAAAAATTGCAGCTTGGAAAAGCAGGCGGGGTAATTCAATCAATGATACCATTTAGGGCCCAATTTAAAGTTAGTGGTGCGTGAAATTTGTGTTCTTAGTTCTCTAACATTCCCCAGATGGCTAATTGATCAGAGAGTCTCACTTGTGGAATACAAGCTATCAATATGATTTCTGATCCTCTTACCGATGATTCACTTAGAACTTCATGTTTTTCATTTAGAAAAAAAAAAAAAAAAAACTTGAAATTGTTGTTTTTTGGAACCTCATATATTTAAGTATGATAATATGTCTTATCAAAAGTATATTTAAGTGATAATTTTATTCATTCAAATGCTTGAGGTGGCTTATCTATTGGTATTTGGTTATGTTCAATTGTTTGATCATAATGGCTAATATTTCCTCTCATTGTTTGTATTTTACAGGAGTTGCCTTGCGGATGGAAACCTTTTGTAAGTGAAGTGTCTTACTCATACTTGATAGGGTTTTACTAGTTGAAAATTTGTAGTGAAGAACCATGGTTACATAATATTAGGTAAATAAATAGTGAGATCGTTGTTGTATGGTCTATATTACATGGATTTGGGGTATTAAGTATCGGGTGTGGGTGCATATCCAAGTGTTAGACATTCATTAACCTAAATGATATTTGGGATATGTATCCAAAAATTGGATATGAGTACGGGGACGTGTCAAGACACTTATATATTGTGTATTGTATAATATTCTTAGATAATCAATAAAAAATATGTAGAAATGTACTTGGAATTAAATAGTATTTACAAGAAATATGAAATTTCTCTCTCTTATCCATGTGAGATGTTAGAATTGTTGCTTTAGTATTTCTTTTTCTTCTTAAAGATGGTAAAAATTGGAGGATCCAAGTGTGTAAATTGGGTGTGTGTGTTGGACACATATCCCACGCCCTTATCCTTGTCATATCCGGTGGACACTTGTACTTTGGAGGAAATAGAAAAGTCCATGTAACATAGTTATCGATCTTTCAGCAACATAAGCATCTTTGTGTCTTCCAAATGGTTTGCTTGTTTGTTCTTTTACCTATTTATATATTGGAAAACTTCTTTGCTATTCGATGGGGCTTACGTTATATATAGTAAAAATTAAGTATGTGCTGCAGTAAAGAAAAGAAGTCTTCCATTCAGAGAGTCTGTGGCTCCTACGTTTCGATAGACAATGAATCATTAGAATGTGAGTGAAAATGTAATGTTGCCTCCAATATTGCAAGGTGCCAACCAAGATTTTTAAATGGAGTTAAAGATTAGATCTCTGTGAAATGAGATAATTAAATGAGTTATTCCAAAGCAAATATGCACAAATTCGAATGAAGAATTTGTTGGGCTCCAACTATTAGCAATCTTGCTCAGAATTTGTAAAAAGTTTCTTGCGTTGGTAAAAATATTGTTAGATCGTAATTGACGGTTGTGAAACTTTGAATTCTGATCACATAAATAATAACCAAGCAATTTTTCATGGTCCTTTTGCCTAGAATCAAGGACTTCTTTGTAATAAAGAACTTGAAACAAGAAGTAAAAATAAAAAATAGAAGAGCCAAACAAAGTATGCTTGTCAATGAATAAAGAACTATTAACTTCAAGTATTTAACACATAATTGGCTTTGAGAGACATTGTTAATGGAATAAACGAAACTAGAAACTCCAGCTCCCTTCCTTGCATCAGATTCATTCCTCAGTATTTAGGGGTTGTTTGGGGTGTCATAAATAAGTGCACTTTTTGTGTATTTGGACTAAAAAGTTGAGGAAAAAAATATGGATGTTTAGGTTAACTTTTTGTCTTTTTACAAAAAAATGTAGTGTAATAAAAAATTGTATAAATAAGTATATAGGAGAAGTAAATGTAATAGGCTGTACAACACCTTTTTCTGGGCAGAGTGTAGGAGATAAGGAAATTGTAGAAATTTAATGTATAAAGAGAAAAAGAGAATTGTATTATTGATTATGTAGAAATTTAATGTATAAAGAGAAAAAAAGAATTGTATTATTGATTGATGTTTGTAATTGTTGTATATTACAAATGGTGAGGGGCTCCTTATATAGGAGAAAATACAATCCTTGCAGACAATGGACAATGATGGCTCATGATGAAAAGAGCCGAAAGCACTAGCACCTAAAGGCACCGAAAGGGAGGCTCACTATCTACTAATATATTATATACTCTAACAGCCCCCCTCAAACTCAAGGAGGATAGGTACAAACCGACTTGAGTTTGGAAAGGAACAAAACGTGAAAATAAACTAATACATAAATAAAAGAGGATAGTAGACACTGTATGGTCGTGTCAGACCGTTGGTGAAGACACTGTATGGTCGTGTCGGACCATTGTAGGAGCTAACCGGAATCAATGTCGGGACAGTTTACGGGGTCATGCCGGACCGTTGTAGCAGACACTGTGTGGTCGTGTCAGACCGATGTAGAAGACAGTTTATGGGGTCATGTCGGACCGATGTAGAAGAATTGTGGTGGTGCACCAAGGGGGCGACTTAGGGAGTGCGCCATGAGCGACTTATACATGATACTTTGTATAACCCCCCCTCAAACTCTAATAGGTGTGAGATAGAAACCTATTTGAGGTTGAAACAAAGGGATTGATAAAGCTGACCGGTGTAGAAGACACTGTATGAGTGTGGATATAGGCTGCCCAAAAGATATACATGGATATAGATATCGAGCCCTCAAAAGTCGCGTCCTCAAAAGGTGTGCCCAATCTTTTAAAAGGCGTGCCATCAAAAGGCGTGCCCAATTCATCAAAAGGCGTGCCATCAAAAGGCGTGCCCAGTTTGTCTGGCGTCAAGAGGCGCGCGATGCGCGTGGCTGCCTCGGCTATTTAACCAAGGCGGAGCCTGAGGCCGAGGCAGAGGCAAAAAACCTGTGAAATCCTCTGAAAAACTCTTCCGTTTCTGAGAGAGAGACTCTGTAACACTCTGTTGCCTAGAAAATGGCGTCGTCGTCTCGTGGTCTGCTCACTCTCTTTCCCGACCTCAACGAGTCAACAAGAGAGATAACTGGGGCGGCGGCCCCTGAACCTCAACCAAGCGCTTCCGGTTTTGCTCCGTTGAACTTTCCGATGCGGTCGGTGGAGTAAAAAATGGCGGTGCAGTCGGATGTGGAGGCCAATCAGTATACGTTGAAGTCGTGTGGAAACCATGACGGCGGTTACAAACTTGTCGCACCGGCTGCAGAGTAGGACAAATGAGGTGCAGCAGTTAAATGCCCAACTGGCTCTGCTCCAACGCATGTATAAGGATGCGCGAGAGGATTGGAGTACCCGGGACATGAGTGAAAGGAAGAAAAAATAAAAAATAAAAAAGAAATGGGAGAGTTAAAGTTGTGGGCGGGTGTGTTGGTTGCATTTCAAAAGATGGAGTTAAAAAAAAAAAGGTGAGTGGGATGAATGATGGCAACAACACATGATGGGGGGTGGAGTATATAATAAAATAAAAGTGGTTAGTGGAAAAGATGAGTGTAAAGAAAGATTAGTGAGAATAGTGTGGTGGGTATTTGTTTGGAGCCACGGCTTGGGCAGACCAAACACTGGGAAAATGTTAAAAAAGTTGAAAAGATGAGGGGAGAATGGGGACAAGCCCATGTGAGTGAAAGATGAGTGTGAAGAAAGTGAGGGATGTGGGCGGTGGATGTGTGATAGATGAGAAAAAGAGAGATTGGTAATTCATTCAGCTGGTCTCTGTCCCAAAACGGGAATGTCCTCATACCGCTTCCCAACATTGTTGTACTCCCAGAGCTTATGAACTCCATAGTCCACTGCCCGTTCGCCGATGTAGAAGACAGGTAGTGTGTGCTTCTTCGCTTTCTTCAAGGCTGCACTGAAATATATGAGAACTTCTTTATGGGACCTGTCCATGTTAAAGAGCAGAAGTCCTGTTCCTGAAATCTCTTCCACAACAAGGAGCGATGAGGATGAGTGTCTAATATTGTTGTAGAATATTGTGGTGGTGCACCAAGGGGGTGACTTAGGGAGTGCGCCATTGGCGACTTATACATGATACTGTGTATAACCCCCCCTCAAACTCAAATAGGTGTGAAGATAGAAACCTATTTGAGGTTGAAACAAAGGGATTGATAAAGCTGGCTGGTGTAGAAGACACTGTATGAGCGTGTATATAGGCTGCCCAAAAGATATACATGGATATAGATATCGAGCCCTCAAAAGTCGTGCCCTATTTTGTGGCTTGGAATAGCAGGGGATTGAAACCAGACGCAAGGAAGGCCGGTGTCGCGACGGAGCTTTGGCAAAGGGACATCGACGTGCAAGCGGTGGTGGTCTCCGGCGACTGAACAGTAGTGCACTCAGAAAGGAAATTTCAAGGTATGTGTAGAAAATTTTTTAGCAGATTAGGTTGAGGTCCGGCGGACGGCCAAGGCGAGGTTGCCGCCCGCCGGTGAAGCGAAAAATACTAAGTGCTTAACCTTGCTCTGATACCATGTAGAAATTTAATGTATAAAGAGAAAAAGAGAATTGTATTATTGATTGATGTTTGTAATTGTTGTATATTACAAATGGTGAGGGGCTCCTTATATAGGAGAAAATACAATCCTTACAGACAATGGACAATGATGGCTCATGATGAAAAGAGCCGAAAGCACTAGCACCTAAAGGCACCGAAAGGGAGGCTCACTATCTACTAATATATTATATACTCCAACAGAAATGATTGGCTCCTTTGCGGGCAACCATTTGGATTGTGCTGTTTGGCCCATTGGGCCCACCACGAGTCCCATTTTGATAATCTGAACCGTTCAATATGTAGAACTTGTCGAGTACTATATGGCTGCAAAAAATCACATTGATCGGATATCGAAATCACATTGATCGGATTAGTTTTTGTTTACCAGTTAACTATAACACCATCCGTTTTTTTTATACAAAATTGATTTGATCATATAATTAACGATAACTTTTTAGCTTTTTAAGTAACTTTTTGACTTTTTGTCTTTTTCAAGACATGCCAAACCAGGCCTTAGAGTCCCTTCAGCGATGTTATCAAACTGCACCCCCTTGACATTTTTTGCTTTAACCACAGCATTCCAACTAAAATCCCTGTCCTGTGCCACTTGTCCTCCTGTTCTGGCTACTTGGTCTTCAAAATAACTGTTCCAAAACATCCTTTTATCATGTGCCACATCGATTCATCTCATGCCCTTATTAGCCTTTTAGTAACTGCCCTTAGTCTTTTAAAAAATTTCAAATTACTTTCCAAAACAGATGTTCCTTAATTGATGGAACCGACAAAAGTAGAACATATAACTTCCTAAACTTAGAAACCAAAATAATAATAATAATAATAATAATGATAATCCTAAACCACCTGTCCCTTGGTCAGCAGGGATTTTGGCAAAATGAGGCGCAAACGTCTTGAAATTCACTTTTGCAAATGTAATAGTTTCCGTGTTTTGCTTGTACAGATCTAAAGAGAACCAAAGATGACTTAGGGTTTATGGTAATAGAATCAATGGGTTTGGTGGGGTTTATGGTTAGGCTAGCCACATAACTATAGTCTATGAAGCACGGGTACATGTACGGGTATGAGTACTGGCGGGTACGGATACGAGTATTGGCTAGTACGATATGGGTACGTCGATACGGTAAAATTTAAAAAAAAATAGAATAAGCGTACGGCTTTGGTACATTTGTAAAAAAAAATATTTATTTTTAATCTGAAGTAATGCAAAAATTGATTAAATGGATTAATATGTTAAGATCCAATCTACGGTTAATATTTAATGTCAAAAGTAAAGGTATAAATCAAAATTAAATGTTATTATATTAAATAACTTACAAATCATAACTTAATTTTAAAATTGTACTAAGTATAAAACTAAAATAAAAAAGAAGTCTAGCGAAAGGAATTTTATCTCTGTAGTTTAAGAAAATAATGTTTCGATTGATGTACGGTATGGTACGGTTTAGGTATTTACTAGGTACGTTTGGGTACGTTAAAAATTAAGAAGAAAAAATTTGGATAAGTATTTTGTGTATCTGGTATGTATACAGAAGTACCATACGCTGGTAAGTACTGGTACGAGTACGGCATGTTTGTCAAAGTACCCATATTTCATAGACTATAGTGCTACCCTTGGTAACTTTGCCCCTTGAATTAGGGCAGGGCCTCCCCTTTCCTTGGAAAAAGTTGTTATATTGAATTTAATAGTAAATAATTTAGTTAGGAGACATGCTTCTTGGTTGTTTACCCAATTCAACATGTTTACACATATCATGTATACATATTCTTGTTGTGTCATATCCCACATGGGTTCTTCACACATTTATTGTTTCATTCTGGAACATGCAAAAACTGCTTATTTCCAGTTTTTGGCCCCAAATCAATTCAGTGTATTTGAATTTTGACATTTTTGTGGAATTGGCATTAAGAAAAATATTAGTTCTTTTATTTAAAATATTGTTTCATGCGGACACAAACACATTTATACATGAATACAATATATTTTTCTTGCTCTTCCTATTCTATTTCAAGTTTTTAGGTCCTAGTAGTAAGGGTGTATAAGAGGTGCTCTGCATGACTACTTCAATTCAATTAAAATTGAGTTGTGGGTGTGGGTGATTGAAAATGGTTGTCATGTGTTGCTTATGTTTTTACTCTTTATTTGCTGTGTAGAATTTCTGGTAACACTCTCTCTCTCTCTCTCTCTCTCATATGCCTTTATTTCTTGTTATTTTCTCATATGATGGCCAAGTGAGATCTTTCTGTTACTGCGGTCTCTAAGCAAATATATTCCTAAAATTTGGTTTCTTTCTTGATTTTTAATGTTCAAACAAGTACTTAATCATCAGTTGTTAATGAAGCAATTATATTTTCTTAATGATTTTATTCAGGCAAACCAAGATTCACAACATAGGTGCAACTCTTGTGGGTGTTGATAAATTTGGTAATAAATATTATGAAAAACTTGGAGAAACTCAATACGGTAAGTGTTGCTTTCTGTTATTCATTTGATTGTGTATATTATTTTCTGCTGTTGTATTTTTTTTTTAAAAATACCAAATGTAGATTAGAAAAAAAGAAAACACGGAAACGATAATCATCTTTTTGCATATCTATGAACCTGTGATTCCTGCCTCAGTCATTATTACTATTGATAAATGTTCTTCCTTTTTCGTAGTGGTCATTGAAAAAGTGATTCTAGCTCTGATAGGTGAAAGTGGAAACATTTGTGCCCGAGGCGGGACCGGGGGGGTGGGGTTTTTGAATAGGCATACTCTTAATTCGATTTTTTTTTCTATCAACCAAGTTCTTAAATCAAATGACCAATTGAAATTTACCAAGTGATTATTGAAATCAATTCAGTTTGCTAATTTCATTATATTAATCATATGTCTTCCACGTTGATATCATAATAAATAAACAAAGCAAGATAATAGTCAACACAATATGTTTGGACGTCAACTGGTGTGCGATTCTTTTGATCGACAATCTGATTAGAAGAAGGGATGTGCATATTAAATGGTGTTGTATGTGTATACATGATGGGGAGATTGTGAATCACTTGCTTATCTATTATGAGATGGTTCAGGAGTTGTGGCCATTGGCCTGTACCTTGTTTGACGTGGTGTGGGTTTCTTCGGAGCAGGTTTTGGAGCTTTTGCAATCTTGGGGAAGAGCTCTAGTGGGTAAAAGGGGGAAGAAGGCTTGGCGGTTGGTGTGTTTGGCGATTATGTCGATGATTTGGGGCGAGTGTAATAGAAGATCGTTTGATTGCGTTGTTAAACCAGTTTTAAAGGTTAAGAGAATTTATTTTTACATTTTTCGTATAGCTGGCGTTCTGGGATGGTTAATCCGTCCTTGAATAAGTTTTTGGATTTCATAAAGGTCTTGGAGTAGTGTTGTTTTTTTTAGAGCTAATGGATCTTTTTGTATATGGGTTGGGCACCCCATTGGTGCTCATTCTTTTTATTTTATTTTATCAGGTATCTTTGTTTTTACCAATCAATATATATATATATATATGTGGAAAACCCATGGGAATGACAATCCCCACGGTTAAAAAACCAGGTTTACTCCTACTGGTTAAAATCCATTAAATGAAAGAGTTTGATACAAAGATTGAAGTAAACAGCTTACAACACAACCATGGATGTGTAGCCATGACGTCTTCCCTTTCAGGCCCACAATCAAGTGGCTTTGACTTGGCAACCAAGAGTGATTTATGTGCATATGATATGAGTCTTTTTTGTAAAACAATTAGAGAATATTTGTTTTTGTTTTTTCAGTTCCCAAGTATGAGCAAAACTAGTCCTTTTTTTTTTTTTTTTTTTATTGTGCGTGAATCAATATGGTGTAGATCTCCTAGGTATTGGATTGGAGGGCTTTGGAGAAATTAGGGGTGTTGTAGGATTATTTGTTGTGTCTGTTGGACTGAAGGGCCAAAGGTCCTATGTGGGCCTGTAAGGGTGCTAGATTGTGGAAATTTCACCACTTAAGCACATTTCAAGTGTGTAATTTGCCTCTCTAGTGCTACCCTGCTTGAGCGTGCCTCTCCAACATCAGTCTGCTCAAGTGGGCTTTGAGCCGGGCACACTAGTTTTGCCCAAATAATCTTGTTTTGAACTATTTTCAACTACAAATTACACAAGACTTAGTATAGCCTAAGGCTAAAAATGCTTAAAATTCTTTTCTCCATCAAGACTTAGTACTTGATGACTTGTAGATTTTTCAACAGGTTGTAGGTTCAAGCCCCATTAATTGTTATTTTATACTTTTAAGTCAGTGGATTATATGAAAAGCTCTATCAGGAAAATGCTCTCAATGCAGTGGTAATGGTAACTTATGTTACATGGACTCGGGTATGGGTTTGTATCTAGAGGTTGGACTCATCAAATAATAAATTTAAGGGCACGTGGACTCGGCAAAAAAATGTTATATTTTTATAATTTTAATAAAGTATGTGCGATAAAGTGGTACTATATGTAACTTACAGGGTGAAAAGACATTTATAGCAATTATACAACAATATGTACATATAATAACTGTGTTATATACAATTATATAAGAAGTGTCCGTTGAAAAGTAGTCGACAAATATCCCATACCTTTGTTCGAGTGTCGGGTGTCCAACTCAGGTATTTTAGTTATTTCGAATAGGGGTGAGCAGCGGATATACCGATCCACCAAAACCGACTGAACCGAACCGATCCGTCGCATTTTGGACGGATGCGTGATGACGAGTGGACGGTTGCGGATTGATTTTCTCCAATTCGCCAATTTGGCGGATGGATGACGGATTTGAAATTCTTTTGACCGCAACCGAATCACCAAACCACAAGCACCCCTAGTAATTTATAAGACTTTGTGTTTTTAGTTTATTTAAATATTCTGATTGTGTTTTCAATTAAAAAAGAGTTTAAATATTTGGTGAAAAAAAGTTTTCAACTTGAATATCTTTTTTGAATTGAAAAAAATAAACGTATTATTTATTTATATTTTTTGGTTTTTAAATCTATCTCTAAAAATAATAAATAGTAAATATGATATATGCTGGTTGGTTTTTGTTTTAAAAAACAGATATAGGTGTAACAATACAGAGACATACAATCTCTACTACTGCTCTGTTCATGGTTTTGATGGTTTGAATTGTTTTTATATTTTAAGAACCATAGATTGTAATACTTTATGTGGATGAGGCATGCTGTAATTGTAGTATGTGGATGAGGCATGCAGCGATTGTGATATTTTAAAGTTTCAAGCTTTCTTGCTTTGGATGAGGCATGCAGTGATTGTAATATTTTTTTAAGTCATTGACGGTAATACTTTCTTATTCTTTTTTTGAGGAAATGCACAAGTTGAATTATGTTGAAAATTTATAAAATTTTAAACCGCCAAACCGATTTGCATCCATCCGCCAAACCGCCAAACTGCTCAATCCACATCTGCCCGATTGGCGGACGGATGCAGATTGATTTTCTCCAATCCGCCAATCTGACGGACGGATAGCGGATTGGAGGGTCTGTGGTCACAACCGACCTGCGTCCACCCCTAATTTCGAAGAGTCCGTGTAACATAGGTGGTAACCTATGCAAGGATGAGTAGGTCTTAATATGTAGTGTATAGAAATCTTACATGAACAAGTAATTAAATTTTCAAAGAATTCAACTCTAGACCTGCAAAATGAGGTATATAGAGACACATTCAAACAAATGCCAATGCATTCGAACATTGGTGACACCTGCTTTTAAGATGCCCTGAATGAACCTCAGTTCCAGTAGGTTATGCATTTGACTGAAACATTTATGTGTTCGAACGAGCAAGGTTTTGGACCTACTTTGTGACACTCGAAAGATGATCCCGTCCGAACGGACTACCATGCATTCGAATGTGCATACTTTTTCGTGTATGACAAAAAGTACACCAATCAGATGTCCAAGGCTCAAATAATCAAGTTCACGGGTTCTAAATAGCCAATCTAGTCTGTGCTCCAAAACTAAACTAAGGGCAAGAACCCTCTAAATTATGTCAATGCAATACATGAGTTTAATTTTCCAATATGCAGAGTTTGTCTGAATGATCAAGGCTTGAAGCTGAAGTCGACTCAATGATGTAGCACTACGAGATGTACTCAAGACCCAACTAAGCCTACAAATAAAATAAAATTTGAGACTCAACCTTTGGAGTAAATTGCAAACACACAAATATCTATGGGGAAATTAAATATGTTTTTTATCACTTACAATCATCCACCTGGTTAAAATGTTAATATCTCTTTTGTTTGTTCAAGTGTATGTGGATATTTTCCATGTAAAGGGCCTGAACTGAACAAAAGTTGCATCTTTGGCTGATATATATATATATATATATTATATTGTCTTGTAGGCAGACATAGGTGGGTGGAATATGCATTGAAGGACCGCTACAATGCTTCACAAGTGCCAGCGGAATGGCATGGTTGGCTTCACTTCATAACTGATCACACAGGAGATGAGGTGCGTACGTCCTTTTTATCTCCAACCTATTAACTGTCAGCATATGGTAATGCAAAAATGCTGATTACCATAGAAATGCATTTTTGTTGCAGCTTCTGATGCTGAAACCAAAGAGGTATGGTGTTGAACACAAAGAGAACTTGTCTGGAGAGGGCGATGAGTATATCTATCATTCTAAGGGACACAGCCTCAATCCTGGGCAGAGAGACTGGACCAGGTATCGAGCATGGGAACCCACTAAGCCCTAAGTTTTTCCTTCTTCAAACGAGCTCCATGAGAAGCTTGTGCTGTTGATTAATAAAATTCTTGTACTTTTTTTGAGGAATGTGTGAACATGCTTGTTAGGGAAAACACAGCAAGTGAATTCATAAATATTTTCACTGAACCATGGTCCTACATCCACCATCCATGGATAGTTCCTCATGGTCACCATTTAAGGATTTGACTTTTTAACAGCTATGGGAGTTTTCCAGAGCCTCTTTTTTCTTCTTATTCAATTAAGATTGTTTTGTGGTATATAATGTTGAAACATATGGATGCATTGTGGACGGATGATCATCTAGCACAATTCACTTTGAAGCTGTTAGCATGAACATTCTTCCTCGTTACCCTATGATTGACCATTGTGTTTTCCTGTTTGTTATAAACTCTCACGAGCTCGCTTGTGTTTCTTCTAAAAAGAAGACAAATTTAGTTTTACTATCCGAGGATGTTGCCTTTGCAGAGGGAGTTGCTTCATTTCAATTCCAAAATAGACGGTCTGTTGAACTCAATTAACCCTTGAGGAGCAGAGTGCAATTCTGTTAATAGGGTGTGGATTAAGAGAGGTATTAGTATAATCTTATCTTGCACTATGTTTGGTTTGGAATCACTAGAGATAAATTATGTGGTTTATTTATAATAATTTGAGAATATTTTGATTTTTAATTCCTAATCTCGAATCTCTTAATTCCGGCATTGTGTATTATACTCCATGGGGTTTGGTAGTCCCTCATATGGGGATCGATATACAGTCGAGGAGTTGTTAATCTAGAGCTCTATTTTTGTATCCAAGCATAGATTTCATAACCTAAACCAAGACGCATGGCTTTCAAGGTGAAAATTGTTGGACATACTTGAACATTGAACAATAACGTGTCAACGTCTCGTGTTATAATTGCATGGGCTTAAAAGGCCTGCCCCTCATTTATGTTACTAATCTCTAATGGTAAATGCAATAATAGCATTATCATTATTATAATTTGGCAATGAATAGTAAAAAATGGTAAAATTATAACAATAGTGTTCTAATGGTCAGATGTTATTTTGGCAAAATTAAACACAGAAAAGGGTGTGTTTAGGACGATTCGTCGGGCGTTTTGAATATATCTGTTTTTGTGTTTGGTTATGCAAAAATGGTGGCTTTGTAAAAATTTATCTGTTTTGTTGGGAGGGAGAGAGGGAGGGAGGGAGGGAGGTTGGTTTTGATTGAGTTGACACGTATGGCCGTTGTTAAAGCTTGTGTCAAATTTGGCAATTGTCATATGACACCATTGGAGCACAACTTTTCTTCTCAACTATTGAATTATAGTAATAGCAGCTTCGATGACAAACAATTGGAGATGTTCTAATATAGTAGTGTTATGGTTATTGTTACATTATTGAATATCAAATACGGTTAGTCGTGAAGGATGACAATATCTATTTATATAAAAACCGCTTAATTGCTTAAAGTTCGTGTTTTTTTTTTCTTCTTCAATTTTGAATAATTTACTCATGGTGGTATATATGTTGAGGGAAGGTTTTCTCGTAATTACGTAAATATTCTTGATCAATTATGAAATAGGTTTTTTCGTAATTACGCAAATATTCTTAGTCAATAATGAAATAGATTTTTTCGTAATTACACAAATATTCTTAGTCAATTATGAAATAAAATGTGCTTTTTTTTGTTTATTTTATAAGATAAAATGTGATTTAATTTTATGTTTATAGATATATGAAATTGATTTTTTTTTCGTGTATGCCTTTTATTGTGGAGATTACAAAGTGGACCATTCAAATTATCGACATGAGTTTAAATTGACATGAGTTTAAATTGAGATGGATAAATGAAAGCATGCAGAGGAGCTTTAGCCCATCCGGATGCAATTGGTTCTGAAAGAATAAAAAATATAAAATATAAAAATGAAAATACATTGATTTTTTGGTGAAGGATAAATCTGGAAGCACCGGGGATGCAAGATATCGGGCAGGACATCAACCAATCACAGATCATGAATGAATGGAATAGTGACAAAAAAACACTGATAATTTTGGATTTGTTGTTTGTATATATATATATACACTATTTGCAGGAAAGGAATAGGAATGGACGAGTGCAATCCTAATCACCGCAAGTTGTAACCAATGTAATTAAGGAGCCAGGGACAAACAAAGCAAGCATATGTATATATGGTCCCCTAGAGGGTTACGTTGTTGCTTCTGTTTTGGTGGGTTTGATGCAATGTGTTTTTACAGATTAACATTAAAGAGTTATGGTAGGGATTTTTAATAAATTATTAAATTTTTTTATTAATTTTTTATATCAGTGTGGAATTTATACACATGCGATTTGATTTATTGTAAGATAAATTAAGAGAGAGAAGCGGGAAAGTATGATATATCACCGCCGTTGTTTTGTAATTTAAACAAATATAAGTCATTCAAATATCTTAGTAGGATAAATGTGTGTAGGATAAATTTAAAAATCATCTTAGCTTCGTTTGGGAAGCCAAGTTTGAGATTTTTTTTTGTCTATTTTAGCCACAAAAAATTAAATAAGCTTTTTAACCTAATAAGACAAAACATGACATTTAACCCGTAATCATTACATTATTTCTCTCACAAAAAAGTCAAAAAAACTAAAAAAAACCAAAAGTCTTTTCTAAACAAAATTTTTTAAACCTAGATTAAAATAACTAAAAAAGTCAAAAAAATTAAAAAAACAAACCACTGTCCAAAGAACCCATGCAATTTAAAAACAAAAATCTTTTAAAAATATTTCATAATATTTCTTTTATAATGTTTACCATTATCCTTTTTTGCGACCATCTTGTTAGAGCATCTCCAATGCATTGCTATAACAGCTGCTAAAGTCATAATATGGCAGTTTGAGCAAAAATTGCTTCTCCAATGGCATGCTATAGTAGCTGTCAAATTTGGCAACTGCCAAATCAAGTGCCAAACTTGGCAACTACTTTGGCAGCTGCCAAATCTGCCAAGTCACCAAAAATGAAACTGTTTTCTTTCTTCCCTCCTTCTCCCCTTCCCTTTCAGTTGGGATTTTCCAGAATGCATGAATAATTTTTTTTTTAAACAAATGCTTCAATTTCTTATTCGATCGAATGTTTCAATTGAAATTATTTTTTTAAACATATGTTTCAATTTTTTTTTCCAATTTTTCATTTTTTTTAATTTTTTATATTTGTCTAGTTGGGAATAATATAAATATATAATTTTTTTAACAAACAAGTAAAAAAATGTCACAAAAAACAAAAAAATAAACAAAAATAAAATCACAAAAAACCTATATCCAAACAACACTTACAAAGTTGGAGGGAAAGTTGGTTGAGATTTGCCAAAAATAGCAAATGACCATTGGAGCACCATTGCTATAATTTGACAAAATAACACTATTCATTACCAAATTATAATAATAGCAACCTCAATATAGCAACAACCATTAGAGATGCTCTTAGATAAAAGTCAATTCGCTCTTTGCTCTCTTTTCGGCTAGTCTGGTCCCACCTATGTCACCCTTTCATGCAAATAGTACAAAAAATTCAGGTAGCTACTAGACGAGTTGATGAATAGCTTTTGCCACTGTTATAAATTAAATTATTAATTATTTAAATAAATAAATAATTTGTATAAATATATAATTTTATTTTTAAATTATAAATTATCATAACATTTGTTACAGATATATTTCTGAAACAAATTAAAAATATTAGACATTAAAATGAGGGGAAAAAAATCAAAACTAAGATAGAAGGAAAAAAAAGATAATGTTAGGGACATCAAATTTTTTACCAAACAAATCACCAAATGTCTCACATGGGTGTGAGACCCGTAATTTTGTGGACCCCACACCCATGTGAGACATTTGATCATTTATTTGGTAGAAAATTTAGGACCTCTAACATTTTCCGGAAAAAAAACTTAACTTACCTTCAGCGTGGGACCACTTTTTCAGCAGAAAGTCAAATTTTGAGTGTTTTCTTCTTGGGTTGTGTTACGTGACAGCTGTCCATCAAACAATTGATTTCATAATCCCATTTATAATGATTTAATAAGAGAATTCGATCCCCAATAACTAGATTTATAATAAACAATCGCGTAACGTAACTTGAATTGAAAGTTTTCAAATGGCCCGAATATTTTCATCAGTTGTCCAGACTTTGCGTGAAACCAAGCTCATCTCTCTCTTTTATTTTTGAAACACCTCACAATTCTGCTCTCCCCCTTTCTCTCTCTCTCTTTCAAAACTGCGCCAACAATCTCTCGCTCAGCACCGTCAACCGACGACAATCTCTCACTCAGCGTCGCCGATGATCTCTCTTACTCACTGCCGACGATCTCCCTCGCTCATCGATGAGAAGAAACATCTCTCTCTCAAACTGATGATCGATGACGAGAGTAAACACGAAGATAGATTTTGCTTGAATTAGTTGAAAATATTTTTATTTTTTGCTTGAATCAGTTGAAAATATTTTGATTTGGGAAGATTCTTTTTTTTTTTTATTTATGAATTTGGGATTGTTGATTTTTATGAGATAGTTTTAATTAAAAATTAGGGACTCGATGGTCGTCAACAGTGGTCTGCCGTGAAGAAACGGAACAGAGAGAGACAATAGTGAGAGAGAAGACAATGCTTGTTGATGTTGTTGCTCTGCTTTTTCTTTTCTTTTCTTTTCTTTTCTTTTCTTATTTTTGCGTTGATTCTTCATTTTTGTTGATGCTTTGTTGTTGAAACTTAGAATCTCACAGTGATTCTTCATTGTTGTTAATTGTTTTGTTGATGCTCCATTGTTGAAACTTACTTGTCTTCAAATCATTTTTCCAAACAACAGAGCACTTTTTTTGTATTTTCCTTTGCTTTGTCAAAACATGAATGCTTTTGGGGTCTGAGAAACAGAGAGATGGAGAGAAGAGATAAAAGGCAATGGGCGTGAGTCCAAAAGGTGAGATAAAAGGCAATGGACATGAGTCCAAAATTTGGGCCATTCGAGCTTGAAAATTTCGAGCTACAGATAATTTTTGTATAATAAATTAAAAATTGATATATATCTTCATATATTATTATGAATAAAATTATAATTTTTTTTTTGAGTGTCTCAAATATATATATATATTTTTTTCAGTGCCTCCTACTATAGAAGTTCAAATTACCTATTAAATCGATAAATTGGCCTCTTTGGGTTGAATTAATTTGATTTTTTAGTGCATTGATTTACTTCTAAATCTTCAAATCATCAAATTGACAAGATTGAATTGATTCTTAATTTAAGCATTACCTAAATTGAACTAAAATCGAATCTATTTATATATATATATATATATATATTTATATATATTTAAATTTTAGAGCAA